AGTTTGAAGAGCAGGTGTATAGTGAAGAGGAAACATTATTAATTTCGGAAGAAGCGCTGCAAGTGAGCTAGAGAAGAGCAGAGTGATTCGGGAAGGGATGCCGATGGCTTATAAATAAACTGTTTCAAACGTCGATACAGTTGGAAGGACTTCTGTGATCACGGAACAATGGGCTTCGGGCTTCATTGTTAACGGACAGATTGGTTTTTATAATACATTATAATATAATATATAACTTATAATAATTTATATCTAATCAAAATTAAACTTACAGTCATCAGGCTCTTTCGCAAATTTCACTTCACAATTGCTGGCACTTATAGACACTGAAGCGTCTTCGTGGGAAACCAATTGGTTGACTATTATAAGTGACGCACGAAATGATAATTATTGCCCATAAAACTGACCAGAATGATTTTCGAGTGGTCTATTTCCACGTTTTGCAGTCTATGAAGACGTTGTTGGTAAATTTGCCTTAAAGGTCCTCGTATTGACCACCCAAAATAACCACGGGGATTGAAATCTGATATGGCGAATAATGGCGAGCGCCGCTAAACATACGCATGTGAAATTAGTTCATTTAAACAAACTGCGAGCTGATTTAACGGTATTAAAATGCACAGTTTGAATAGTTTTTAGTATTTAATTTAAACTCCGATAATTTATTCTGTTCAATTTTCGTAAATGTGCGAATATGTACAGTCACGGCGGGACTCGAATGGAACTCAAATAGGACGGTCAACCTTCCCGCTGTGCGGACAGAGGTGGCCTTTTCCTCGCGTCTCGGTCATGTGGGACATTGTCGTGCAAACACCAGTGTGATTCAGTGCTTACGTTGGTCCGTGATCTCTGATCCGTGATTCGTATTTCGTGATTAGTGCGTACAACAAATACTACAATTATTACAGAAAAGCTCCTTATCTTAGAAGGATAAGAATAATCTCGGCCTAGTTCGTGTAATAACTGAGTGTGGTCGAAGGGTAAGTTTCTACTGCTTATTTGAACCTTGTTGGTTATGATAAGTATACCATGATTACGCAATCATATTCTGATGGTCCTCAATTAAGCAGGATTGGTTGAAAACTGAACCTGCCCTACTACTAGTAATATCAGTGTTTGATAAAGGTGCTTCTTGCCCGTGGTTTAATGATCACATCCAACGTGCACGGATTTTCCAGGAACCTTAAGGAAGAGGGGGAGAGAAGAAGAGAAAACTACCGTTGTGAAGCTGTCGGTTTAAGAAACACTATATTGGTGTGTGTGTGTGTGTGTGTGTGTGTGTGTGTGTGTGCGAAACACAAGTAATCATAGTTAATGCTTGAAGATGCATAGTAAGTGAAAGCAGTTGATGATAATATACTTCTACAAATAAAGAGTAATACATGCATAGACATTCCTGTCTAACTTTTCATGGCGGCTACAGAGAAGGATAATCTTAAAACAGAAAATGCTATGCATTATAATTTTCATAATCAGCAATGAAAGCACGTACCACCCAATATAACCTGTGAAGGAAAATGATTAGAATTGTCTTTCCGGTCAATACATGATATTTTTCACTTTTTTAATTTAATATACATTCTGATTAATTTTTAATGATCATTTTTTTGTTAATGGGATATAACTAAGACGATAACCGCCCCAGAAGGATGACGCGAACTCGTACTATGGGCTTTCTCGTTTTGATTCGATTAGTATTACATTTTGTACAACCAAATATCTACCTACGCACCCCTTGGAAGGTGGTACCGAAAATAGTGAGCTTTATTAAATACATTAACTCTATACCTCACACATTCGCACGACACAACAAAAACCGTCATCGTTGTGGGACCCATTGGATTAAAAACGGTTTAGAGTGGCGAGACACTACTGTAAATTCAAAACAAACATCACACGAGTAAAACAAAAGTATTATTCCTAAAACAGACCAATCGTTAAACACTGCAAATTAAAACACATCGTTTGCGTACGTTGCTCATTTGAAAACACGGTAATGAGGAACCTACTGCATATTGACGGAAGAAAAAGGCTGTACGTGATGTAACTTTTGGATACCATTCCATTTACGTTTCTAACGAGGAAGGCCAATTCGAATATGTCTATCTACCAAATAGCCCGTGTTTAACAAAAGCGCTCCATCTCAAGTATTCGTGGGCTAAAAAAGTCCCGAGTGCGATAGAAGCGAATCGCATAATCAAATTCTAGACGTGACAGCTCGATAAAATGGGCAAACCTTTGAAAGACATCTAGGTTTTTTAGTGCATAGTTCGTTTGAAACGCTTTATGTTGACTAACATCCACACAGATAATACCATCACAGACAGAACTCAGGGTTTTTGGAAACCAGACTTAATTTAAACTATAAAAATATTTTACATTTATCCGAACTCAGACTGTATGCTAAGCAAATCAAGGTTCAACAATCTTTATGACAAACAAATCCGTCCATGATTTGTTTCTAGGCGTAATACTGCTAGGCTACGTAGACCAAAGCAGATGAATTTTCTTGAGGAACTAACAACCAGAGTCTTTGACTAGTCAAAGACTGATCTGCAATGCCGTGTGCAAGAACCGCAATCCGCTGCGGTCTAGTGTTCAATTAATTGAATCATACGCCTTCGGACTGGATCAAGTGCCCAAGGTAACCAACAAAACTCGATACCCAATCAAACCAAAAACACAGCACGACGAAGTAGAAAGTGGGGAGTATGGTTCTTACCCCCCCCTCATTCATGGTTATTCTGGAATCAAGGACTTTAACCAACTCTCCTAGGTGGACTACCAGCGGTTCACCAACCCGGTTAAAGCTCCGGATGATGGCTTTTTGTTCTCTCATTTTGCTGAGGACACCCCGGTGGAACCTGGGAGCATGGTTTCCTCAGTCAAGGCTGTTCGAGACGCTTGATCGTATGGGAGCATTTTACTATGGATATCAGTCGTCGATACCTGAAACAGTCCTTCACTCATGTGATACAGTTTCGCTTCATTAAGTGCTACTTATCCGTTCTATTCCGTTCATTTTCCTACTCACTGGTTAAGTCCATGTAAATGAACATAAATCAGACGATAAACTATAATTTCGCGATCTAGTTTTCATGTGGCATCTGCATCGGTTTTATTAAAAAGATTAAGTTGAATTGTAATAAACTGCACACACACAGACACACACACATATACATATATACACACACACATCATCATCATCATCAGCCAATCCAAACAGTACGCTGTTTAGTTGCCCGTATTCGATCGATCGATCAATCTGTCCAAACCATGTATGCCCACTGAGATTGTGCTTCACACGGCTTCCATTTGGTTAGGATCAACGCAAGTCTTATAGGTCTTCCGTTGTGTTCCACTCATCTTTTTTATAGAAGCCACTTACCGCGGTTAACTTCCCAATGCAACACCGAGTACACGTTCTACTTGAAGAGACTGCCTCTGATCGGACTGGAATGGAAATCGGTCTTAGTGAAATGGTTGCAATTAACATCCTGGACTGGATTCGCGTTGACAAACAACTCAGTTTGATGAAGCTAGGTGGTCTGTGTAAATTCTCCCGAAAATGAAACGGAAGACGATGTCTGTTTGGGCCGTGGTAGTCAAATGGTTAAGGTCATCATATTAATGACCCGGAAATATCCAGTTCGAACCGCTACACCGCTGCCCATCTTCCTCATCTATGTACTTTCTCAGGCAGTTTATGAGTGGCCGCAACCCAATTCTTGAAAGCTGACTGTAAATTAGTATATTCAATAAATAAAATGAAAGTAAAAAGAACTGTCGGTATCGACTGCCCCAAAGCAGTAAAGGACAGACTTTATCAACGTTTGTATGTCATCCAATAAGAAATAGGGCAGACACAAATAGCGGTACTAGCTGGAGATTTGTAAGCCACAGTTGGCATTCTGCTATCGCACGCAGAAGAATCAGGTCATTTTTGTCTTCACAACCAGCACTCGGACAGTGGTAAAAGACTTCTGAATTTCTGTTCGGATAACGGAATTTTTCTTTCAAGCAAAAGTATCGTGAAATCCAAACCTTATGTAGTGAATCCCATCTTCCTCATAGAACTGGACACAAATTGGAGAGTCAGTGTACAACACTGCCATGCATGCTCAAGCATATGAATGAGTATTGACCTCCTATTAATACGCTCTATATTCCCACTGCGTTTCAGTGACTCCACTCGAAAGAAACTCTGTTCATGGAGTAGCAGTTACGGTTACTCCGTCTTAACGAACATTCAGGAGTTTAAGTTGCCTCTCGAGCATCGGGCCCAAACTGATACTAAACAACGACCGAAATGCACTGAACCATCTTCGAATGTTGATCACTAATTAAGTTGCGGCCACAGACCAGTGAACAACTGGATCTCTGTAACGTCTCTCCAAATTCGATATAGCAACAAAATGAGTTATTCCGTGCTATCCACGACAGTTTACGTTACTAGGTCTCATGCCTACTTACCCTTAAATTTCTCTTCACTGAGGTGAGCGAGTCTTCTAGTAATCACTCAAATTTGTCTCACATTATACCGCAGCATATTGATGAATTTTGGCGGTTCGTTGTTGCAATTAACTTTGAACGAGCAAGTCGGGTTGATCAGGACAGATGTTGTACATGCCTATGAGCTATCAACCATACTGCATACGGTTGCAGTCACCACCCCAAGGCGGATAAAACCTCGCAGAGGTCAACTGATGAAGTGAATATGAGATAAAAAAGAACTGGAGATTGAGCAAAGCACGTGTCTCTGGCCTTCCAGATTATGATTGACTGCTTCGTTGTAGATGACGATGAGAAGAACTGTGTGAACCAAAACATTAAATCATAAGTTATGCATGAGATTCATGCCGCAACACATGCTAGAAGCATTATTTTAATTTCAAGAGCATAAAATGATCAGAAGCTGGGTAATGGAACCTGTTCCATGCATTAAACTCAAATGCGGTCAAAGATTTACCGAGAAATAAAACGAAGAATAAAACATGCGATCAATTTAACCTAATCTCGCTCAAAGCTTTCAGAAATCCTCGCCATCCTCCATGGGCCAGCACCCATCTTCCCATTTTAGCGTCTAGGTCTCGAATGGCGTAATCAACCAACGTTTGTATGATCAATACCATGCCAGCATCTAGGCAGCTCATACAGTAAGCTGCTGTGAATGTGATGTAACTGAGGAAACGACCCCAGTTAGCCAATTCATCAGCCCAAATGTTGGTCAGAGAATCCATAAAATCCTTCTGAGCTCTCTCCGGTGTGCACAGTAACATCGCGTTACGATTCTCGAAACGTGGCGTAAATTTTGCCTCCAGCTCCTCCGCACGATCTACAAGACGTCTCATAATTAAATCTAGAATTCTGTGATTAACAGTGTGACCACGTTCCTTCTCGAAAAGTATAATGCCTTTGTATCCTTTGAGGCAAATTCGATAATAGACATAGTCAACGATGATCCATTGTAGCACGAGTTTGGTAGGTAAATTATCAAGACTGCATGTGGAGTTGTAAATGTTTGAATCTATTTCCAGTTCACCCTCCACAAAAACAGTTTGCACGTCCGACATTGATGGATCCCGGCAAGCTGGATGCAAACTGAATCAACCCCGTGGCTCTTCGGTTTGTCGCAATCTAATCACGATCGATTTGTTTTTGAAATTAATCGGANCACATGGTGTTGCATTACAATCATGTAGCCGTCTTCAATGAACATTGACAGACCACCTTTTGGTTAATTTGATGTAACCCACACTTGGGTAGTCTAGGAGTCCCTATTCTTTAAGTTCTCCTTTTCACAGGCACCTGCCCTCTGCCTTCAATCCTGAAGACTGATTATTTTCTGCGTGCAGTACATGAACAATAAACATATTATGGAATATAGTCTAAAGTATGGCCAGGGTACGATAGGCAATTGCTTCCTAGCGGGTAATTGCGACTCAAGATCACACATCTGAATACACAAGTGTGGAAAGACTCGATCGCTCTAGTGTGTAACGAAAACGCATTGGAAAGCAGTGATAACATAACCACCAGTCTATAGTAATAATAATTCACTGAATGGCAGCCTGTGTTGAAGAATTGAGCTAAACACCACCAGAAATTTAAATGGACAGAATTGTCATAATATGCGTAAGTATTAAACATTCAATGAACATGTATATACACGTTTCCATATGNGTTTGTGTGTTCATGCATAGGCATTTGTGCATCATACGTGATCACCATAAACTAGCAACAAGTAATATCAGTGATTTTAACGATCACAAGTGTTATGATTATGACTGTAAGTGATAAGAATAAGAATAATGGGTTGGACAAAATCACCTGTGCTATTACAAAAATACAAATGATTCATTCTTTTGCTCTTTTTGTACAATCGACATCAAGTGGCACACGAAGGAAGAGACACGCGTGCACAAACACATAACAGTATCAATCGGTAGTTATTCTTGTTTCAAGATAAAATGATGCGGAGAAAGAGTCGTAACAAACAAAGATTATGAGCATACTACTCAAATCACAAGGTATGGCGATCACTAATCGATGAAAACCGCCATCCTTTGCAAATGAGTAAATGTGACGATATAGTCGCACACACACAGATACTGACAGCTATGGAAAACAAATATCACGGAAACAGGAGGGGAGAGTAGAAGAGAGTGAGCGAGGAACGCAGATTTCTGCATGCAATCAGGCAAATGAAATTCGTCCAATCGGCAAGCTGACACACGCGCACGCACACATACACAACCACAGATGAGCAAACGAAAATGAAACAAGATTCAAGGACAAGGAAACGTAGTCCAGATCGTAAAAGGTACACAGCTGAGAAGTGATAATGCGATTAGACCATCGGGGGCACAAACAAGAAGAATAAGCTAAAATGGTCTCAGCAGGCTATAATACCTGCTGATATTAGTGTGCGGGAATGGGGGATAGGAACCGACGAAATTGATACAATGGCACAAAAACTTTGTGATACTGGCAGTAGCTCGATACCGTTAAACAAATCGGTACGCCGTAACTGCACATGGGTAATAAGGGTACCATGAATGAGTTTGACATGATTATGATTAACATTGACAGGAAAGAAGATGAGACGTTTTAATAGTTAAATTCTGAGGTTCCTGAAAAGTGGTTAAAACTCAGGTGGTGGTGGTAGGAGAACACATGAATGCGTTTGTTTTCCGAAACAAGGATAGGTAAATAAGTGACACTCAAAGAAGACGTTGTAGACTGCGAAAGAAGTTTGAGCGCACGGTTAGAGGAAGAGTAACGCAAGTGCCGGACAGAATCAATTACACAGATCTGGATGCGTTCAAGTGTGACTTTCAGAAGCATTTTAAATAACGTTTAAATTGTGCCCATTTGTGGCCTACCCGAATCACAGATGTCTGTCTTCCGGCTTAAAAAAAGTATGATGAAGGATAATTATTCATGCGTATGGCTGATCGCAATAAACAACAGACCACGGTATTGAAAGTGTGCAGCGTAGGCGTTAGAACGAAGGAAAACCAGCAAACAAAGAACGGCAATATTCTTCACGCACTGCATGGGGTTGCGTCCGGACGCACTCGAACGGAGTGACGCAACCCATCCCTGCATATCTGAACCACCCAAACGCGAGAAGGCCCATTGCGTCAAAGGGAACGGTTGCGCTGCGTAAACCGTAAGTGCACTAATGCGGCAGCCCGTTTGGGACTACACAGAACACACCAATGCACGAGGGACGCCAGCGCATGGTTCGGCTGCGCACTCGTCTGCACGTGCGCTTTGACAGCGCCATCATCATTGGTGTCAGACAAATAGTGGGCGTGGAATGCGGATCGTGAAACGGCCTTGGATACTCCGCCTGAAGCGGCTCTAAACNATTTGCGTGGGTGGTACGAGTAGGGAACGAGACGCGGATTGGTCCACAGACAGCATACAGACGAATCCGCCGATTAATCAGCGTAGAGGCGCGGATGAATGGAAGTGACACGTGAACCAATCAGAGCGAAGAGGGAGGCGAATGGCGTGAATTCGGTCGGTCACGGTGGGTCGATATTGATCAAATCAGAGCGTGGCGAGTAGCAGGCGTGTGGATTGTCCAGAGTAACCACAACCGTGCGTGTATATGCATGCGCATCTCTCGTGCGCCTATCTGCCTCACAGCCCTGGGTAAATTTTCCATCCAGACTGAGGGCCACGGTCTGACTCAATCATTTTTGGACTCTGACGAGAGAAATTATTTTCATATCTGCTCATCAGCATTGTAACAAAAAACACGTGTGGTGAGTGATCAAAGTAAATGGAACAAACAGAGAACGAAGAATTGAGTGGTCGGGGAAGAAACAGAAATACACCGGTTTCATCGCAAAATTCTATCTGTAGAGGGATGAGAAAAGAGGAACAATAATCAAAACAAGTCGATGATGGTGTCAACAGGAAACAGTGTAAACGACAAACCGACAACCATTCGTCTCGAGAATGATACACAGTATCTTTGACAAGGCACACACAAGATAGAGAACAGAGAAGTGAGAGTAATTGTTTGACAGGTATTTCATTTTCACTAATTACAAACTGAACACGTATGATATTCAACATTCTCTGAGCACGGTGAAAGACATCTTGGTATGATTGTCATGCTATGTTTAGATGTATACGTAGGTCAACCAGATAGAATGAATTAGTACGGAAACCACAATGCGTGCGCTTGAGT